GCAACACAACACACACAAAAACACATCATAGACAAGAACACGACACAATACAACACACACACACACACACACACACACACACACACACAGGAAAAAGAAGCGTCAACATTGTGAGGACAGCACAATGTCATACACGGCAATACACAGCATAGGTCTAGAGAATGTTTCTGGATCTCTGTGTGAACCAACGTCTTGCAGATTTTGTGCACATTATGGATCCCTTCTCATACTCGAACCTCAGCTTCTCAAATGCTTTCAATTTCCGATTCAAAACATTGAAAACCACAAAACCATGGACTAAGACTGAAAGAACAATGGCATTTTGCAGTTTTGAAGTAATCACACATTTCTCGTAAGTATTGAGGCATAGCAGTAGGCAGTCGGGTCTTCCTCTCAGAGCTTGTATAACAAAAGAAGACAGATGTTTTGCGGTGCAGAAGGTCAATATCCTTCCTCCGTATTGTAGACGGTAGATGTAGAGCAGTAGGCAAAATACTCCCTCCTGGCACAAATTGAGAGAAGTGTTGCAGTAGCCTGTGGGTGAATGCTCTTCCTCCATATGGTAGGCAGTAGACGTAGAGCAGTAGGCAAAATACTCCCTGCCGGCACAAATTGAGAGAAGCGTTGCAGTAGCCTGTGGATGAATGTTCTTCCTCCGTATGGTAGGTGTAGCAGTAGGCAATATACTTTCAGTCCTTTGAAGCAGTGTCTGCACAGAACTTCCCCCTCCTCCCGGGACAAATGGAGATGAAAATGGAGAAGCGTTGCGGTCTGTCGGTCAATATCCGTCCTCCGTATTGTAGATGTAGCAGTAGGATATACTTCAGTCCTTTGGAGCAGTGTCTGCAGAGAACTTCTTCCTCCTCCTGGCAAAAAGGAGATGTAGATGGAGAATGGTTGCTGTAGACAGATACCTCAGTCCTTTCCAGCGGTGTTTTCACCAACCTTTTCCCCCAGTTGCAGCATGTAGTAGTTCAGGCCAATGGAGTAACGAGCACAAGTTCCCTCCCCTTTAAGTACCCCTGCCTCAGACAGTGCTTCATCCCAAGTTGATGGAACCGCTGCTTCAGCCATGGCATGGCATCCAATCTTGTCATGATAGACCGATCAACGACTACAAAATTACAAATCCAATATACCAAAAAATCACCCCCCGTACTCACAAGCAACAGCTCGTTCTTCTTCTGTTTGAAGCCTCTAACCCTAAGTGCCCCGCGCTTCAGACAGTGCTTTACCCCGGCAAGGTTACCTTAGTGACCACCAATTGGCCATCCGATCTCCTGATGATAGATCAACAACCAGCGACTATGTACCAAATTTCTAAGTCTCACCAGCCCCCCATACCGGCGAGAAAATCAGTTCCTGCTTCTTTTTCTTCTTCATCTTCTTCGAAGAGCAGAAGACACAAACCCCATAAGCGTCTAGCATTACCAGGACTCGAAATCAAGACCTGCTACCAACAATCATGCATGTGCCCACCAAATTCCAAATGCTTCCCCCCCCCCCCCGTGTTAACAACCAACCATTTTTTTTCTCCTGTTTGGAACATGCTAATCCCCATCCACATACCTCAAGCAAACTACTGGCCATCTGGTGACAAACCCCTTTTAAGGGGATCCCCTAGCACAGTTGTACGGTTGTGCCCATCAGGATTCTAGCGCATGACCTCTTTCTTAACAGTTATGTGCGTGTACCATTCAGCCATACGGCAGGTACGATATTTGATTGGTCACACCCTATCGTCAACGTTTACCTTCATCATTCTCACATCTATTCCAAGTTTCTCTCTCCTCCTCACGGCACGCCTTTCCCTCTTGCCTTTCCGGTTGGTCCTCTTTGTCTTGGCTTGATAGCCCTGGTATTAAGAGCAGGCGACAATCTCTGCATCAGTTCTCCCTGGACAGCTTCCACGCAAGTCAAATCCATTGAGAGACAACTCGCATATGTAGATATATAGAATTCTCATCATCCTTTTCCCAGACTGATATCAAATACCTCGCACAATCTCTTTATTCCCATCCGAGAACAACTATCTCGCACAATATCTGGCACAGTTCCATCTTCCCAGAGTGACGAACAGTTTCCATGAAAGTCCATTCCATTCTGAGACAATCCACATACGGGTACGAACACAGTCGTTCCATCCTCCTTTCTTTCCAGCCCGAATATCAAATATCTCGCATTTCTGCCACTATCACCCACTTCCACACATCTACCTTCATCAGCCTGTCTATGTGTCACACCCCACTTCTGCACACCTCCCATCATCAGCCCATCTATGTGACACACCCACTTCCTAATTCAAGAGTGTACTTTTGCATCAGCCCATTGTGCGGCCAAGCGCGTTGATACACACATTACGCTCAGAATTCCCTCCTCGTTGCCACGTCGCTCCGCCGTCCCATCACCCCACCATGCCATCGCCCTGCCCAAACATCATCCATTCATCCTCCTTGGCTAATTGCCAATTCAACATACTGTGTTACTCATGGAAGCTGGCTGCATCCATGCCAACATTCACACCAAATTTAAGTAAAACACTAAAAATTTTGTAAACATTGTAGAGTGATTATACTGGCCACACTACACAGTTTTACTGAGGGCGCACACCGTCCGTCCAGCAAGTAAAATGACTGCCCAACTAAAATGATTTCCGAGCAATGAGTTCAGTGAAGTCATTTTACTGAGGTCAGCAAGTAAAATGATTGCCCGACTAAAATGATTTCCGTGCACTGAGCTCAAGATCATTATTTACTATATTAATGAAATTCTACTCAGCCATACTCAGCTCAGTAAAGGTCATTTTACTCAGCTTAATGAAATGCTGTTTTCATTACAATAGGGCGGACACCGTCCGTCCAGCTCTATCGCCAAGGAACTTCTCTGAGCTTGGGGAACCAGCAGAGGCAATCCCATAACCTGTCCAAGATGGGGAAGGGACAACAGATTTTTCAGGTCGACAATCGACAATCCAGCTGTATTGTATCTTCTTCAATGATTTGTGATAATCTTCTACTGTCATCGACCGTCTTCGTCACCTCCACTTCTTTCTGGGACGTCCATGCCTCCTTCAGATGTCTTTTGCTCTCTGGCTTCAACTTCTTTTTTTTCCTCCTGTCACTCGTCTGATTCCGACAGGATTCCATCCGAGGTCTACTCATCAACAGTTATGAGTGTACCATTTAGCCAAACAGACTTAGCGCTCTGGTTTCAACTTCATCATCCATTATCTGTTTTTCAGAGATCCCACCAACTGCTGTTTGTTCATATGCTGTTCATATGAACTTACTGACTAACGAGCAGAAAGGAACCGGACGGCCGCTTCCACAAATAGAATGAAGCTAGTAGCCTAATACAGTAATACCAAAAAGTCTTACTTGCATTCTTAAGCCACCGCTGCGTCCGAGCCCTTTTGTCCCGAGGCGAACTGTGCTGCGTGCCAAAGGAATAAACAAGCCTGCACAGTCTTTTCTTCGTTTAGTAGGCCCAGCCCCCGAAGATGCGGCATGCATATTCAGGCAAAAAAATATAGCTGGGAGGTGTGGTGGTGGTTTCACCAAAAGAGTTAAAAATAAAAAAGAGTTAGGGAAAATAGTGAATCGTAGGGTCAGGGATATGCACAACATGGTTGCTAATGAGACCCTGTTGCCCCAAAAAAGGTTGAGAAGTGGAAGTCAAAAATGTGGTATAAACTTACTATGAAGTACTATAAAGTAGAAAGTTGTGAACATGTACACTACATTAATCGCAATACCTGGCTGGGCGACTCGCCGGAGTGAACCCGGGCATGTAAAAGTCCTGGTATTTCTAAATTTTCATTCGTCATCGATAGGGCTTTTCTGTGCCCGCACACAGCAGCCCCAATCCAAGCTCTTCCTTGGTTGTCATTGTTGTTGGTTACATAAAGGCGGGAGGCGGGGAGGGGAGAATAAATGGGATTTAGAGGGGGTTGCCTTAGTTCAATTTTTATTTTTTTCTATCTTTGATTCAATAAGCAATTCTGAGGTGACCCTCACCCAAAAGCTGTTTGCATTGCCATTCTACACTACATCAAAGAACTTTTCGATGTTTTAAAATTTTCTGATTCTGCGCTGGGGCTGTCCAGGACCCCGCCCGGTGGTCGGGCGAGTGTTCAGGCATGAAATTGATGCCCGGGTGCACGGAAAACTAACCCAGCATGTACATCTGAGGTGACCTCCTCCTGGGGGAGAGGAGGGGAGGGGAGAGGAAGGGGGGGTGGAGAAGGGGTTCGGTAAAGAGAAGGGGGTACTCGTTGCAGCCTCATGGGCACACACAAACCTGTGTTCTGACAATCCAGCCTAAGCAGATAAGGCACTGAAATCTACTCACCAAAAGGTAGGACTACCTGCCAAGATGGGAAAGGGTAGAGAGAAGGTTTCACTGGAGTTATCCTTCTACTAAGACAGCAGGAACCCGGCCGTTTTTCAGACAAAGTTCATGCTGACAACGCACAGGATTACCCTACCCAGATTTTGTGAAAAGGGAGGGGGCCAGTCTCTGCGAGCAGGAATCTGGCCATTTTTCCAACTAGGCTAATGTTGACATAACAGCCAGATCCAACAAAGCCACCGCCACCTGGCCGTCTCTCCGACTAGGTTCATGCTAGCAAGTCAATCTCTCTTCCTCATTTTCCCTAGTCATAGGAGTCAATCCCAACAAAGCCACCGCCAACCTGGCTGTTTTTGGGTCCAGATTCATGCTAACAAGAAAGCCTATCATCATTATTTCCCTCGTCATGAGGGCCAATCCCAACCCACCCACCCCATAATCTTCCAGCTTCCACTCCATAAGCATATAGCCTTCATGCTCGGAAACTTTCACCGGGTTAACCCTCTGCAACTATCTTCCAATTCTAGCAAAC